GAGAACAGATGAACAGAGACTGTGCGTCACTTTTCATGTTCAACACCGCAGTGACAGCAGAGACCACTAACAACAACAAAATATGCTAGGGCTGGGTAAAACAACAAAACGATTTCTCGATTTTAATAGATTCTCATTTTTATGAACCAATATCGATTCTTAAATCCCAATCGATGCTGTTTTCAGTTGATGAATGAACAGTAGATATAGTGCGCATATATACACATAGTACAAAGCTCTGTGCTTTGTTACTTTTGATATGAAACAAAATCTCAGATTTCAAATTCTGTCCATTTTGTTAGGAAATTCAAGCAATAAATTCTGTTTTGGCGCTCTTTAATGTGGCGTGATAGATCGCTGTAGCTTAAACTGGGTACTCGCCTGTGCGTAATCAAACGCGTAGCAAAAGACTCGTGACAGTGCGACATCTCGCACTCGCCACCAACTGGACAGGGGTGGGAATTACAGCTACAATTTACAATAGCTCACCCTCAGTGTAATCTGTCAAAGTGACGGACAGCCTTCAGATTTTTCCGTCACTGCTAAAACAAATTCCGTAAATGACAGACAATTTTCAGTTAACACGACCTCTGGTTGAACCACTGATGTCGCATGGACTATTTTATCGATGTCCTTACTACGTTTCTGTGCGTTGACCGTGGTAGTACCCTTGCTGTCTATGCAGTGTCAGAGAGCTCTCGGATTTCATCAAAAATATCTTAATTTGTGTTCCGAAGACGAACGAAGGTCTTGCAGGTTTGGAACGACATGAGGGTGAGTAATTAATGACAGAATTTTCATTTTTGGGTGAACTATCCCTTTAAGAGTAATATTATATTATATTATCTTCAGATCCCCGCCTCGGCGCGGCAGTACACTGTGAGCGCACTGGACTCCGCCAGCATCCTGCTGGTCATCGACGGAGAGGCCATCGCCACGTCTGCTGCGGCCCTCTCTGACATCACTCTGACACGAGGCTCTGTGCTTTTCATTTCAGCCAATGAGAGCGTCTCTTTACAGGTGACATCATCGTCAGGCATGACCATGTTCAGAGCCTGCTGCTTACTGTAGGAGACGTCCGCTTCATAAACGTAATCTGTTCTGTCCTGATCTAAACCAACAGGTCAAACAAAGTTCAAGTAGAAATCCCATGGTCACATGTTTTTGGCTTCATCTCGAACATGCATGACGAATAACCTCAGTTGAAGGAACAGTTCACCCCAAAATGAAAATTCTGTCATTTACTCGTTCCAAGACTGTATGAGTCTCATTCTTCCACTGAACACAAAAGAAGATATTTTAAAGAATGTTAGTAAGAAAATAGTTTCTGGTCGCCATTGACTTCCTTATTTTTTTCCACACTATGGAAGTCAATATGCACCAGCAACTGTTTACTTACTTGGAACAACTTGAGAGTAAATGATGACAGAATTTTCATTTTTGGGTGAACTATCCTTTTAAGTTGGAGTATTATGATGACATTTAGTGTTAAAGTAGCTATGCTTAATCAATAAATAACAAAATATGTAATGAAACGGATTGAATTATGATTCTGCAACATGAAAACCTCTGCATGTTCTTTTGAAATATGTAAAAGTATATAATTCCTTTGAGTCAACATGAAATGCTGTTCACACCATTTTGCTTTAATAATGTGACATTTACGAGAAAAAAAAAATGTAGGATGGAATTTGGTTGGACGATAAAATGTGGGAGTTCCAGAATGAAGTCAGACCAGAATGAGAGTTTAAACCACCAGCATTAAAGCAACAGTTCATCCAAAAATGAGTTTGCTGAAAATGTAGTTACCCTCAGCCCATTCAAGATGTAGATGAGTTTTGGAGAAATGTAGCATTACATCACTTGCTTACCAGTGGACGGTGTTGCCAAGTCTGCGGTTTTCCTTCAGAATTGGGTTACTTTTACACTGTTGCCGCGGGTTGAATCAACCCCAATAACGTGATTTTTAACCCCTGGAATGCGAATTTCACCATGGGAACCCTTCCAAAAAAACTTGTGTTTTACCCCCGAAACGCAATTTTTACAGGGCTAGTTTTGAGTAGCAATTTTGGGCGGGTTTTGTTGTGAAAACCTGGCAACCTCTGCAGTGAATGGGTGCCGTCAGAATTAGAGTCCAAACAGCTGATAAAAACATCTCAATAATCCACACCACTCTCCAGTCCATTAATTGATGTCTTGAGAAGTGAAAACTGTGTTTGTAAGAAACAAATACATCAAGATATTTTTAACTTTTTAATAAAATATGGATTTCTTGTGGATTATTGTGATGTTTTTATCAGCTGTTTGGACTCTCATTCTGACGGCACCCATTCACTGCAGAGCATCCACTGGTGAGCAAGTGATGTAATGCTACATTTCTCCAAATCTGATGAAGAAACAAACTCATCTACATCTTGGATGACGTGAGGGTCAACACATTTTCAGCAAATTTTCATTTTTGGATGAACTATTCCTTTAAGAAAGCAAACAAAGCCAGTTTTGATTTCACGTTGGCGCATATAAGTCAAATGCACGGATGCATGATCACTCACTATTGGCTGCAAGATATGAACATTTTATGAAACGAAATTTGTTCCATCAGAGATTTTTTGCATAAGGATGTAACACCTTTTTTGCATGTGTTAAAAAAAACTAAAACAAATGGAGCACAGTAACAATTTTACTTTTACATTAAAACCTGGTTAACATACACTTGAGACCGATTTTATTCTATTTCATGGTACTACTGCTAAAGAACAATGAGTCCTTGTTACGGATACACTCTTCCATGAAGAACATACATGGTAAAAAAAAAAAAAAAGTTTTATTGAAGTTCTTGCTAAACGAAGCACTCCTGTGACAGACACGAGTTTTGTGATTTGATTACCAGTGCAACTGATTTTAAAAATAACCCTGCAAGTGTTTTCATACATGTGAAACTTTGTTACCGATTTCTATCCTCCCTTATAAGCGACTGTATGGCTTGATCTGTGGTTATGCTTTATTGCTGTATTTACTATTTGCACTAGCAGTGTGGAGAGCACAAAGGATGCTGGGAATTACCGGCATCCTGATGTTTGTTTACTGTATTTTTAGTGGCCTCTTCAGATTC